GCTGTATGTTCAGGAGTTCATGGAACTCTTGGATTGTCTGATCATATGGTGGACGGTGTTTTGCTGCTCTCCTTAGCGCCTTATTTTGCACTGTTTACAGTTTTTGCATGTTTTCTTTAAGATGTGTAGTGGTACTGGGGGATACTCTAGATACGGCCGAACTAGAGCCTTATATAGGTGGATCTGAATGTTTGTACTGAGGCTTCGGAATCTCCTCAGTTTTCCTAGGGCTGCTTTGGCTTTGTTTAGTCGGTCCCTTACGTGAATTTTTATCCCCGTTCTATTGATCATAAGCCCCAGTATTCTGTCTACCTCCGCCTACCCGCCTCTCCCACCACTTGCCACCCACCACCCCCCTACTCACCCCCACCCCCAACTCAGCCACCACCCCCTACTCAGCCACCACCCCCTCCCCTCCCACTCCTCCACTGTTCCACCATGGCTCACACAAAGTCAATAAGTATTAAGCAACGTGTAAAGCTGGTGGAACTGTTCCCTAACACGCTCACGGACCTCACATGAAAATGTAAACATTAACTACCTCCTAATTGTGGCATTTAATCACTTCAATAATCACCTCCTCCGGTTGTTTGCTCAATAATGAAGGGGCACTTTGTCGCTTAACTGCTTTCTTACCCTGTCTATGGAAGACTACGGAAATATATACTTGATATATGCCATTAACGGGCGACAAGATCGGAGGGTATTCCGGATGGAATTAGTATATACATACATACATACATACATACATACATACATACATACATACATACATACATACATACATACATACATATATACATATGTATTTACTCACCTACCAAACCCAAAGAGTGCAGAGGGGCGGGATTAACACTTCTACAATAGACATCAAAGGAACATGAACTTTCTTGTCCAAACATATAGTAAACCGTCATTGTAACTGGACTCTCTACAATAGGTTGGTCAGAAGAGTCAGCCTGAACCAGGTGTGTGAACCCTGCCTAAGGAAGAACTAAGTTAAGGTGAGACATCTCCCGTCACGCAGGGTGCAGTCGCACCTCCACAGATCTCCAGTATCATCTATTGATATGGTGAGGGGGCCACCACTTACGAGCTCTCTCTCTCATCTTCTTCATCTCCGCGCTCTCAGTTAGTAGCCTCTCATCTCTATCTCTGCTCTTCTCTCTCTCTCTCAATAGCTCTAGGTGGATATTTAGATTTCTAATACGACAAAACATTGATTTTACGGAGTCACAGGAAGAAAAACGTGTTGGACCGTTTCCCTGCTCTCTCAAGCTCTCTCTGCTTCTCTCTCTAAGCCTCTCTCCTCTCTCTCTCTCTCTCCCAGTAGCCTGAATTTAAAAAACCATTGCGGTATGGATCTGTACAGGATACCATGGTATTAATTTTAACGCAGAGATTGCATGCGAGTGCTTTCAGATGGTCCCAGTAATTTACTGTGTCTGAGCGTGCTCCTCGTCTCTCAAGATGTTAAGTCCACTCTCTCTCTCTCTCTCTCTCTCCTCTCAAAGTCTCTCTTAATACTGGTGTTTACATGTAGTTACTCCAGAGTTTTGCTCCCAAGTCTCCTGCAAGGAAACTTGTCTGGTGCTGATCTAAAACTCTGTGGCTCGGAGCAGACTGCAGACCTCACACATCCAGCACAACCTGGCGGGTCAGGCAAATCCTGCAGGAACTTGTCAGCTTGCCTCTTGAAAGCAGAGATATGCATCCCCGTATAGAGATTGCCGAGTGCTGTATTCTTTCTATTTTGTTTAAATCTCTTCTACTTTGTAAGATGAAGTGGATACTGAGCAGTGCCCAAGCCAGGATAGCGCGAATGATTGGAAAAGTGGGATGATTGTGGCAGCATCCCTGGATGATGTGATGAGTCGTAGTTGGCTGATATATTTGTTTTATGTTCACTGGACGTTAGGTCGTCTCATATTATTTTTGTTTTCTAGATCCTTTACTTGTTTTAAATCCGTGAGGAGTGCTGATTGCTTCCTGTATCCAGAATTACGTTTAATTTTAACGTTTAATGTTAATGTTAAAAAAATTCATTTTGGTTATCTTCCAATGTTTCCATCATTTTGTTGTAGTAGTAATAGTTGAGTAATTGCTAAAGGCACGATCTTCTAGCTGGAAACACATGTTGACAGGGAGCCGGTCGGCCGAGCGGACAGCACGCTGGACTTGTGATCCTGTGGTCCTGGGTTCGATCCCAGGCGCCGGCGAGAAACAATGGGCAGAGTTTCTTTCACCCTATGCCCCTGTTACCTAGCAGTAAAATAGGTACCTGGGTGTTAGTCAGCTGTCACAGGCTGCTTCCTGGGGGTGGAGGCCTGGTCGAGGACCGGGCCGCGGGGACACTAAAAGCCCCGAAATCATCTCAAGATAACCTCAAGATATGACATGGGTTGTAAAGCTGATTTGTTCCACAAGACTAGAAATCTGATTCCTGATCTTTCTTTTTTAAATATTTAATGTGTGATTTCATTCATTTAATTCTATTTACTTAATGTGTGTTGTTGGTGTGACTGCTTTGTAGTTTTTGTTAATGTGTTTACCTCCCTTGTTGAGTAGGATAATATATATGCTCATTTAAATGCCTGTGTTGGCCATTCTTCGAGGTTATCGGTGTGGGTGCCAACCCGTTCTCGCACTTGCTTATAGTCAATATTGGCTTATTTAATAAGTGCATATGTGACATACTAATTGATTGTGAATACTTTAGTTTACCTTGAAAAGCTTAATAGAAAACACCGACCTCATCTAACCTTCTTAGTATGTTAAGATAAGCATCTTATTGCTTCTTATTTACAATTATTACTTAATCTATCAACGGTATAGGTTAAGTAATAATTGTAAATTTCAATTATTTAAGTAATAATTGTAGAAGCTTTTCAAGGTAAACTAAACTATTCACAAACAATTAGTATGTCACATATGCACTTATTAAATAAGCCAATATTGACTATAAGCAAGTGCGAGAACGGGTTGCAACGTGCTGGTGTGGAGTGGTAACCAGCCCCCGTCGACGCAGGTGTAGGTGCTGGTGTGGAGTGGTAACCAGCCCCCGGCGACGCAGGTGTAGGTGCTGGTGTGGAGTGGTAACCAGCCCCCGGCGACGCAGGTGTGGGGTGCTGGTGTGGAGTGTGGCCATCCTTCACCTGGCAGGCGCATAACATGGTACCATTGTCGGTAGAACGTCGTCAGATTGGAAGCGTCACTCCGGCTGATGGAACCACCGAGTCATTTCCGGCCCTGGCGGTGTAGGGAAGGTATGGAATGAGGTAGAGGGAAGATTGAGAAGTTACGACCAGGGGGAGGAGGAAGGGAGAGAGAGAGATGAGAGATAAATAACGATAAACAAATAACGAAGCACACCTCTGGAAATGATAACGTTTCTATCCGGACCCTTATCAAGACTTGTTGGTTAACAGTCATGTGGTAATGTCTTAGTGATGCTGATAGACTAAGAGCAGCGTGCATTATGTCATCTCCGCCTTGAGCAGTAGCGTCAGTGGTCGGTGTGACCTCTTGGCACTCTAGGGCATCATGGCATCCCTCAGAGTGCCTCACTCCGTCCTCTCAAAGGTGTCACGTGTTAATATAGGCATTTCAGGTACTCTTGTCCCCCCATTTTCTTTCCCTGAGTTGCTCTTGTGGACGATGGAATTCTTGACCAGAAGACACACTAGAAGGTGAAGGGACGACGACGTTTCGGTCCGTCCTGAACCATTCTCAAGTCGCCTGCAGATGGAATTCTTTTCCATGCTGCCATGACGCTCTGCCACTTGGAAGCAAACCCGCTGGGTTGTTCATCCTGCCACAGCTGCCATCCTGCCATTGTTCATCCTGCCATCCCAGACACAGCTGGGACTTGCTACACTTTTTTCAAGGGAAACAGTTTATCAAACAAGAAGATTAACGTTTATTAACTCGTAAATTACGTTATCTTGCGGATGCAAATTGGAGGAATCTTTTTAAGAACAGCGTCTATATTCGACACAAAACAAAGTTTTAAGAAAACAGACTTTTCTTTGCTCTCCTGTGTTAAGGCAGCGGTGAGGAGTCTTTGAAGACTGGCAGCGAGGGACAGGCCTGGGTGGGTGAGGGGGAGACATCCTCACAATGGATCAAAGGCTGACATACGTGTTTATTACTGGTATGAACCTCGTGCCTCTTTTTTTCACATACACACACACATGACACAGCACTGCTCCTGTGCCAGGTAAAGTCCTCTACGGGCTCACCATAACCCGTGCTACTTGGAACTGGTTCCGTGTTTTGTGAGTTTGTGAGTATAATTGCCTCTTCTTTCAGGAAAATCATACAAGCAGTAGCTATACATTTGCGTCTCCTACAGAGGAACATCTGAACATGTTACTACGTTACTGACGAAGAGTCACAATAACGTGGCTGAAGATATGATGACTCAAACCACACACCAGAAGACGGATTCATGAAACCACTTACGCAAGCACTTACGAACCTGTACATCTTTTCTCAATTTTTGGCGGCTTTGTTTACAATCATTAAACAGTTAATGAGCTCCGAAGCACCAGGAGGCTGTTTATAACAATAACAACAGTTGATTGGCAAGTTTTCATGCTTGTAAACTGTTTAATAAATGTAACCAAAGCCGTCGAAGATTGAGGAAATATGTACACGTTCGTAAGTGCTTTCGTGAATCTGGCCCAAGGAGACATTAAGAACATAAGAACAAAGGTAACTGCAGAAGGCCTATTGGCCCATACGAGCCAGCTCCTATCTATAATCACCCAATCCCACTCATATACTTGTCCAACCCGCGCTTGAAACAATCGAGGGACCCCACCTCCACCACGTTACGCGGTAGACAACGACGTTTCGCTCCGCCCTGGACCATTATCAAGTCGATGAGGGACGAAACGTGGTCGTCACATCTTCCGGTGTGAGTGGTGTGGTCATCACGTTACTATGTTATGTTTCCACCATAAAGCAAAGACTCAAAGTTTGTTTCCTTCCCGCAGGCGGTGTTGGCAGCGGTATGCAGGAGAGCGGCGACGGCGAACCACGAGTCCGCGTTAGTCAGGTACTGTGCTGCGCATGCGCCCTCTCCGCACCCCGGGGGAGGGTCGGGTGGGGGGTTGTACCAACGACTAATTTTTCAAATAATTTTGGCGCTTTTAATAGGGAGAGTTAATTTTTTTTCCAGAGCGATTAGGTCTTTTTTATGGGGTGGGGATATGTTGTTGTAAGTATAGTTTTGTTTAGGCTGTGATGTTAATGGCATATGCTGCCTTTCTCTGTACAGGTAATGTATGTCTTTATTTTTTTTATTGCTATGTGTTTTATATAATTGTTTGAGAGTCTTGTCTGCTGCTACACGCCCGACCAGGTAAGTTATATTAGTTGATAACCAGTAATTTTAATAGGCGTTTTATAGTGTTTTGTGGAGTTTCTGAGCTGATGTCTGTTTTGTTCCAAGTTGTATTCATGTGTAGCTGTACTGGAGAGAGAGAGAGAGAGAGAGAGAGAGAGAGAGAGAGAGAGAGAGAGAGAGAGAGAGAGAGAGAGAGAGAGAGAGAGAGAGAGAGAGAGAGAGACACAGAGAGACACAGAGAGAGGAAAGAGGAGCTTGAGTGAGCAAAGAGGAGCGGTCTAAAAGCGTTCGATAAAAGTCTGAACAGATTCTTTTGTGCGCTGAAAATGTTCATTCGCCTCTGGCTAGTGTTATATACAAAATTTATATTGTGGATCCACCTGTTCTCAATTGTTTACTAAATCCTGTTCTCTGAGATCGTGGCCCCCAGGCCCGGCTAGTGGAGGAAAACTCCCGGAGCAGGTAAATGTAGGTGAAACTCCAAGTAAATGTAGAGTTCCAGCTTGAAGGAGCACACTGGAACCCTCCATGAAGTGCTTCACATACTTGCTCCTCGACCACCAGATGCTCATCCTCTCCTGTGTTGAGTACGATCATCAGGGTCAGGATTTATCACTTAAAGTGTTCACTGAGGTAGCCTGTTCATCGTTCTTCATCATGGCGGCTTAGTCTGTATTTACTGAACAATTTACGAGCTAGGAAATGCTATGAGGTACAAACTACGGGCTCACCATAGCCCGTGCTACTTGGAACTTATTGTACCAAGTAGCTAATCTTAAACAACAACATATGAGGTTGTTTATAATAATAAACATGGGGTCGAGAACGACCTCGTAGCGTTTCCAAGCTCGTAAACTGTTTAATAAATACAATCTAAGCTGCCATAATCGAGGACAGATATACAGGTTTCGTAAGTAGATACATAAGTGTACCTGTTAGTGCTGAATGTATATACTGGTCCTCCCCCCCCCCTCACAGATATCTTACTCTCGATGAGTGACAATAAGCAGTTTAAATTGGTCGTTTCCTTTGGATTGGCTCGCAAAATTGACATACTGGCCCGTTTTCTGTTTTGGGTCCTCTGGTGGGTTAGCATAAGAGAGTACTTTAGTACGACGGTTTCTTGACGTTGGGAAACCCTAGGGGGAAAAGACTGGGTGTGGATGCTGCCTTAGTTTCTATCGGTTACACGAACCATCATACGAGGGGGACCTGGTAGCCTGGTGGATAGCGCGCAGGATTCATAATTCTGTGGCGCGGGTTCGATTCCCGCACCAGGCAGAAACAAATATGCAAAGTTTCTTTCACCCTGAATGCCCCTGTTACCTAGCAGTAAATAGGTACCTGGGAGTTAGTCAGCTGTCACGGGCTGCTTCCTGGGGGGGGGGGGGGGGTATATGTGTGTGAATGGTGTGGGGGAAAAAAAGTAATTAGTAAACAGTTGATTGACAGTTGAGAGGCGGGCCGAAAGAGCAAAGCTTAACCCCCGCAAACACAACTAGGTGAATACAGTTTACCTCGGTGTTCGCTTTAATGTGGCATTTACGCAAATGTTCGTACGCCAAACCAAACCACACACTAGAAAGTGAAGGGATCGACTTGAGAATGGTCCAGGACGGACCGAAACGTCGTCGTCCCTTCACTTCCTAGCGTGTGGTTTGGTCAACTCTGTTCGTATCTCTGCTCGAAGTCTCTGTTGCTCAACCGGGGGTTTGTTGAGGGTCAAGATACCCATAAAAAGATTCATAGAAAACACCGACCTTACCTAACCTTGTTAGTATCTTAAGATAAGCATCTTATTGCTTCGTAATTACAATTATTACTTAACCTATACCTATTATAGGTTAGGTAATAATTGTAATTACGAAGCAATAAGATGCTTATCTTAAGATACTAACAAGGTTAGGTAAGGTCGGTGTTTTCTATGAATCTTTTTAAGGGTATCTATTATGTTTAGTATATCACCTATGCACGTAGTTAATAAGTCAATATTGACTTTACGAATTTGCGAGAACGGGTTGCGAGGGGATAGGGAGAGGCATCACAACCCATGATGCTCTATAAACCATTGGCTTCCTTGATATTGATCTCTTCAAATTTGTGTACTACAAGCGTCGCCATTCTTTTTATCCCCCTCTGTGTCCTCTTATCCTCGTCTGATATTCCCGGGGAAATGTTTAATTATTGATCACCCATGTTATCTTGGCTTCCACCCGAGTCCATCTTATCTTGATGATTTCGGGGCTTATAGCGTCCCCGCGGCTCGGTCCTCGACCAGGCCTCCTTTTTGTTACACGCCCCAAGGAAGCAGGATGTCTAACTCCCAGGTACCTAGGTGAACAGGTTCATCAGGGTGAAAGAAACTCTGCCCACTTGTTTCCGCCTCCACCGGGCATCGAACCCGAAACCTCAGGACTACGAATCCGAAGCGCTGTCCACTGTCAGAAGCCCCTGCATACAGTTCATTCACTATATGTAACTAGTCATCAGCGTAATCATGCCAGACTTGTAGACTCTTCATTCGTCATAATGAAGAGGAATGTAATAATGTATACTGTAGGTGTGGCACTATTCCCATCTGGGGGAGAGGTTTTGGGCGGACTTCGGTGCAGAGGGCGACGACTTGTGGCGGGAAAGTTGTCCTGCAGATGGGATGTTCTTCCTGAGAAGCCTTCATAAAGTTTTCAAGTCATGTTTTCTGCATTTTGTGTGCTAGTAGATTTTTTTATTTATATTTAACTAATTGCACATTTGAATTTGCTAAAATTGTCTAGGAATGTGTATTGGTTGATGGTTTTGCGGCGCTGCCGCAAAACCTTTTCATTTCTGCCGTTATCTGCCTTCGTGCGCGCGCACACTACCTCCCCTCACCCACAACACACACACACCCTTTCCAAACACTCAGTTGTCCCTTTCCCTTCACACCTTCCCATCTTTTCCTCTCCATTTCTTTCCTTTGCAGGGCATGTCCAGCCCCCTCTTCCCGCCTTTCCCCTTCCCAAAACACGGCCGCCCGCCCGCCCGGCCGGCCGGCCGCCCGGCACGTCTTGCATCTTGAAAAAAACTCATTAGTTTTCCCCCCTTGTACGTGAAAGGCTCTCGGTGGTAAAGAGCTGCTGATCTAAATTTCCTTTTATATAACCGTGGCTGTTTTATTAAGTGTATGAAGCGGTCGTGTGTACTATTAAATGTTTCTTTGCGAATTGTAGGAAACAATCTTGTCTGTTATATCAGGATCATTTTTTTGTTTTATTTTATGTTTTTTACCATTATTATAACGGTAAAAAACGGTTAACGGTTATTATTTACAATTATATATATATATATATATATATATATATATATATATATATATATATATATATATATATATATATATATATATATATATATGAGGATTTTTTGTTTTTCTGTCTCCTGTTGCTCCAGTCTCCCTACCAGTTAAGAGCAGACGTTTATCTGTTAAAACACAGTTAACAACTTTACCGCTCATAAACAGTTAATTATTACTTCGTTGAAAACTCTGTTCAAACACTAATCCTTTCTTTTATTCTTAAATTTGCTCGCAATGTTAATTTGTATGAAAAGTTATTTCGTTTTCTGTTGGGGTGCGCCTCGAGACGGCAACACTGGGAAGCTTGCTGGAAGGCTATTGGCTCACGCGTTCCCGCCATCCGCCCTCAACGGAATTCGAACGTTCCACTTCATCGACACGTTCGTGAAGATCGCGAACGTGTGAGCCAGTTTAAAATCTATACTGAAATCTATGTGCCCGCTCATTATTTTCCAGGATATTCCTGGAAACTGAAACGGCAGACTGAGTATCTACCTAATGATTTCTCTGACAAAGATTGCATTCCCAGTTTGGCCGAGACTTGCTAGGTGGGGAAATTCACGTTTTATTAAAAAAAATGACTCATTAAACAATAAAGACGTCTGTATTATTATGTATTTCGATTAAAATCTCACTTTTTTGTTGTCGGAATTTTGAGAGAGTATATATTTCCTTCTAATCTTCAGAGTTGAGTGTTATACGTCTTATTTTTGCCAGATTTTCCCTGCTAGCTGCACTGTCAGAGGGTTTTTTCCCTGCCAGGGTGTGCTGCTCGCCAGGAATTTTTGGTGCCGAGAGTTTCCCCAGTCAGATTTTTTCCCTCCCGGCTCTCTCCAGGAAATCTCTGGCGCTTTTGTTTTTTCCTATTGTTATTTTGGCGCCTTTTGTTGTTCTCACGTTTTATGTTCTTTGTTGCCCCTTGTGTTATTCTGTTTTATCATGACTGTTTACTCCCTCCAGGCACGCTGCTGCAACATAGAGGAATATACCTTTAAAAAAACGATGTACAGAAAATAAAGTTGCATTTAAAACCATAGTAATGAGAATATGGTGAAGAGTGTGTGTTCTTTTAGCTGTGGTACGCTAAATATCATGTTGTTGTTTTAGATTCAGCTACTCGGAACAAGTTCCAAGTTGCACGGGCTATGGTGAGCGCCGTAGTGGACTTACCTGGCACTGGAGCGGTGCCCTGTGCTAAATATCACGCAGCCTGTATATATATATATATATCCTAAGATCAGGCCTAGGCAGATCAGGTTAGGAGTAGTTTTGTTAGGTCATGTCAAAGTCAGTCTGAACTGCGTCATAATAGGTTGTACGAGGTCCTATGTTACCGCTTTTATACTTTACTCCCCCTTATCTCTTTTCTTGCTCT